TGAGGTACCACTGTATAATTAAAGAAACAAGGTAGAAATTAAGATTAAAGGAACACAATTTTCAAAAATTATTGTATTAGTGAAAGAGGATGGAGAACAGCTTCTGAGTGGTGAGCATAAGACGTTGATGGAAGATGTTGTTAAAACTATTCCAGAAATGTCACTCTGTTTTCATAGCCTCTGTGAGGACTAGTTCTGACAAGGTCAGAAAGAAACAGCCTGAAACCAGACTAGTCCTTTACACACTAGATGAACTTCAGGAAGCCCTTCTAGCTAACCATCCACCTTTACCTGAGAATGGGGAAAACTGTGACGCAATGGCTTATTATATATTCCTCCCTCTTTCTCTGAGAGAAGACATTCTGCAGCTCTGCCGTGACAACTAGCCAGATGGATATTTTGGAATATTTACTCCATGATGTTTGGTAGCCTCGTGTCGGAGCAGCCATTAAAGCTTATTTTTTTGCCACATCTGTTGCCATGCCAAATCACTAACCACCAAGCCAGCCAGCCTGTTACATCCTCACTCTTTTTGTCCTGTCCCAGGTCTGGCACATACATGCACACACAAAGAAGTACAGTTCAAGGCTTTACTTTGGTTGAACGCTTACAGCAGCAGCAGTCAGGGCATGTATATAGACTCATGCACAGTCTCCATAAGTCCTAAATCCCTTGGAAACTTACAAGTGTTAATCCAGAGGTCACAGCATCATCATAGGACATCAGCCAGTCCAGGTCCAAAAGCACAGAGTTTTCACAGGCAGAGTTTAAGTGTAACAGGCAGAGGTTCTGGTAAACAGAGTGGTTGTGCCAGTGAAGGATTGCTTGCTACTGGTGGCTCTAAAATAGAGCCCTACCAGGTGCAAACAATCAATGGGGGGAATGCCCTTGCCTCGCAAGGAGCCCTGCAGACCTCCTCTGTTCTGCTCTTCACTCAGCCTTACATGTCTTAGGACTGAGAGGAGGCTCTGGATCAGACCCCTCGTCTTCTGCTGCTCCCAGCTGCTCCACAGGCTCTGCAGCCAAATCAGCCCCAGGCGTCTATCTACCTGCTGCTCACCCTGAGGCACACTGCTGTTGCACATGGGGTCCCCTGAAGTACATTCCTCCTCCTCAGACTCCTCAGAGTCAGAGCTGGCCATGGCACTTTACTGCATAATCTTTGGGATACAGTTTCCTTGGACTGTATTACGGGCATATCAGACATCAATGGTCTAACTGTGAGCCTGGATGTGGTTATCCTGTTTTTGAAAATGACAGATTTTATCCCCTATTGCAGCCTTCCCTCTTCTTGAGATTGCCTGTTTATGCATTCACCACCTTTTTAAACATCAAAGTATGCCTTCCCATCTGATTTCAGCAAAAGTGTTAAATTTGTGACCCATCTGAACCCAGAGAACTTTCTTAATTCTTGGGTGTTATTTCTCCTCTGCCCATCATGCCCTATCAATGGAAAAACAGAATGAACCAATGTTACCTTTGTGCAATAACGTAATTACTACGTGAACTATCAAGAAGACAACTGGCCTGATCTTTTGCCTATGGCTGAGTTCGTATACAATAAATCAGCTCATTCTTCTATTCTCATGTCACCTATTTCAGTTCTGATAGTTACCAGCCATACCTGAACTTCAGGTAGTTTAGCAGTTCCTCAAGAAACAACTGGATCTTGTCAAGGCTTCTTACAAGAGATCTGACAACCAACATCAACAGGCAGCCCCTTTCCATTGTTGTTGAAGTTCACCTCTGGGTGTCTACCAGATTTCTCCTGTTTACATGACCATCTAAGAATCTGGACATTAAATTGTTTGGATCTTTTCCAATGGTTGTACAGGACAGCCCCATTGTCTCTTTCTGTAATTTTCACCATAATGAAGATACCACTGGTTTTCCACCATTTTCCCCTGATCCACTCCCTGTCCCCCCTTACATTTCTGTTTCCCTTCCAACTTGGTTTGGATGGAGGAATTCAAGGTAGAGTGTATTTTGGCTTCAAAGTGCAGGAGGGGCAGACTGTAACACCTTCTTTATTGGAAAGGCTACCCAGGCCCAGAGAGATACAGAAAACAGCAGAGGATGAACACAAGTGATGCCTTCTATAACAATACCACCCAAAAGCATGAGTTCTTCAATCCATTATTCTGTGTGGAGAGGAAAGAGGTCCAAAAATTGGACTCTGCTTCTTTCATTAAAATAAGCTTTGTATCTTACTTATGGGAAATGCTGGATTTTTTT